CTTCTGCATATCCCTAAATCTTAGTCTTGGTTTTTTAATCTCTCTTCAGCTTTATTAATGTAATAGTGCTGTCAACAGAGATGAGGAAATTTTTTTCTGTTTAAAAACAGACAAAAGAAAAAGACTTGAACATAGAACAGTGATACTCTCTTATTTATCAGCTGTTCATTCCTACTACTTACTCCGGAAACACTGGGATGAAGCAGGTTGAATCCGATGAAACAGTTGTACAATGATGTGGAAAAAGAGTTGGGTGCTCTGTGATGTATGCCTCTAGAATTTACATTGAACCACTGTACAACAGAGTAATTGTGATTTGATTTCCATCTGTAAGGGCTAGAACTGGGGGGGGAAGGGAACTAAACCTGTATGAAATGGTTGAAATAAGCTTATATCAGCACGTGGAGCTATCTCACTGCTTGTATTTAAGTTTCACATACTAGACTGTGCTGCTGCCTATATGCCAGTTGACATTTTGAACCATTGCAGATGCACGTGAATCAGTTTGTTGTGCATTTATAGCCATGTAGCATGCTGATCTGTCTGTGTAATGTGTATTTTTAAGCACACTGGAAAATCTGCTGTCTTTTTAAGGTTGTGATTTATCTTTCCCTGGAAACAAGTTGGTGTCTGGAGATCACTGTAAAATTATAGTGGATGAAGAATCTGGTCAAGTGTCATTGGAAGATACAAGGTTGGTTCTTCTGTGAACTTTTACTCCTTCTCTTAGTCTGTGAAGTAAAATCTTGTATGTTACTCTGGGCATCAATAGTAACTCATTCTCTTTTTTGTTTCTCTTTTTTCCTGCTTTTACATCTAGGTTTGGGGGTTTTTTTATTCCTTATAAATATTTTTTTTCCTCTACAAGAATAACAGTCTATTGGATGAAAAATACTGTTGGTGTAATAGTTCTGTAACATATTTCTTTAGACTTTTGAAAAAAGTGCTTCCAGCATTTTTAAAAGTTCTAAGCATCAGTGTGCCTCATTTCAAGTACTCGTGTAGGAAAGAAAATATCTGCAGTGGTGATCTCAAAGCATGAAATAGTTGTGGAGTAAAAATCTGTACTTGTTATACATCTTCCTGGTGTTCAAAATATCAGTAGTCTATATCCCATAGGTACTGTAGTAGTCTAGCAGTTGTGGTGGGCGTGTCAGAAAGATTAGAGCCTATTCTATCTAATTTAATAATAAAAGTTGTTTGCTAGATTTCTACTGTTGATATTTCATTTTTATTTTCTTTTGTTTAACCTGAATGATTATTTTCTTTTCTGGGTGTTTCTGTGTTAAATTAGGGGTATGAGATGTAAGGCCCTTAATGTAGAAGGATTTAAGCACATACCTCACTGGAACTGCTGTTAAAAAGCTAAATTAATTTAGTGGAACTACTTTTAGTATATAAAGTTAATTACATACTTCTTCACACACTGAAGGCCAGTGAACTTGCTATACTGGTGAGCTATTTCCTGTAGAGTTCTAAAGCTACTGTGGGTGTACAAATAGCACTGCAGGGGCTGTGGGTGGTTTCCAATGGATTTTAGTTGGTTTTCTAGTTTTCTTTATAAAATTTGAAGTGGGAATTTGAATGGAAGGGTATTTCTGAGGAGGAGATTATAACCCTCTTCAAATGTTCATCTTCATTTTTGACAGGATTTTTTGTCTAAGATTGCAGAAACCTTCTCGTTTATTACATTTCAAGAACTCTGTGACATTTTAAAATACTGCTGTAAACCACATTCTTTTTCTGCCAGGTTATTGCAGTCAGTAAAGAAACAAATAATACTTTTCTGCCAGCTCCCCCTATTTTTCATGTCTTGAAGCCATTTTACCCAAAGATGAAGAAGACACTTCAAAATATATTGATGTACATATATAAAGAGGAAATTTCACATTTGAGGTTTTGAAGTGTATCATGCCAAATCCCTGTTCCAAAATACCAGAATGAGATTGAACATCTGTTCTGGTAGCTCAGGGTTAGTATCAAATACCTGCTGAGCTTTTGACAAAAATCCCTCCAATGATACTTTGAAAAAAGTTTGAACTGTAATTGAATGGGATGCACATTTTCTGGAGGCAGTGGCAGAATGTATGAGCTTTAGGTGACATTTTTCTTTCAGCAGAATTTTTGCACCTCTGTTCCTTTTCTGTCTCTTGATCAATTAGTAGCTATGTTGATATTGAGAAGAGGTTTTTTCAGAGTGAAGAACTCACTTCTAGATATTTACATGGTCAGTGCATTTGACTGGAGTTGCATTGACAGTCAGCTCTGCTGGAGTGCTTCATTTTATCAAGGCCTTCTTTGTACTAGGTGACCAAAAACTAGATGTAGTATTTTAGATGTGGACTAATGAGTTCCAAGTAAAGGGGAATAATAATCACTTCATTTGAGTTTCTGACTACACCCCTGTTAGTACAGCCAAGTGTGCTGTAGGCCTTCATCACTGCTAGGGCGTGCTGCTGACTTAAACCTAGACGTAAGTCCGCAGTGTGTGATCATATGCTTAGTCATAAGATTCACCAAGAACCCTCGCTGGTTGGTCTGTAGCTTGTACTGTTGTAAGTGGTTATTCCATCCCAGGTGCAGGACTTAGGATTTGTCTTTGTTGAATGTCATGACATCCCTGTCAGCCCGTTCCTCCAGCCTGCCTGAGCGCCTCTGAATGGCAGCCGAGCTCTGTCCCCGCTTTGGTGTCATCTGCAAGTTTGATGGGGGTGTATTTCCTTTCCACTTCTACATTGTGCTAGAGAAGATAAATGGGCCAGGTCCCCAGATAGGTCCCTGGAGGGCTTATACTCCTGCAAGCTGTGGGATGGAATGCTAAATTTTAGGAAGAAATAGCAGACCTAGCTAGGATGTCTAGGAAATGGCTTATAACTGTCACTCTCCAATGCTCTGCCAAATTTCAAGACGTTTCAAACATCAAGTCAGGCCACATTTGCCTCTTTGAGAGACAAATCCCTAGTTTCAGTTGTCTGTAGCTGGTGGAAGTGGCTTAGACCAACGTCATGAAAATACATGCTAAAGGAGTTGTGAATGATGCAGAAACATTCATGAAACCCTACACCCCACACCTGCCCGGGGCAGAAGGTGCAGCCAGCGGAAAACTAGCAAAGCCAAATTAAAGTTAATTGTCTATATGATATATTAATGGAAAGGTGGGGCTTGTTACAGTGGTAGTATAATGGAAAGTCTGCAGGTATGGAGTACTACCAGTTAACTGCTTATGCATGTTACACTTCTGTGTATCTAACAAAAGAGAGTAAGATCCTTTATGTGTTCTGCTTGCCTGTGAGCTGCTATGAAATGTGGTTACTGTTTGCTGAATCAAGAGACTAAACAGGTTGGTATGACTGCTTGCAGAAGACTATCAGTTCTTCTGGGTCTTCCAGTGTTTATGCTGAATACCAGATGAACTCAAAAAAATTAAGCAGGCTGAAAGATTTTTGAATGTTTCAGTTGGAAATACAGATGCCCAGCATCCCAGAAAAATACTGCAACATCAGCTATTTCTTCTCTGAAGTGGAAAATATTTTTGAAACATCGCTGTGGTCAAGCTCAGATTTTTCTGGTCAAGAGGAATGCATTGAAGGAGGCAACTAGTGTGTCACAGTTGAACTGAGTGGACTTTGTTTCTGTATTGTAGCTAAACCAAAGAATATCATCAAATATATGTAGACAGCCAACATTGGTTTTTATCTCCTTGGTAGCATAATGAGTTCTTGGATCTACCTTGGAAAGATTTATCATAAATTTGCAGGTTAAGGGAAATTTGTAGAGAACTCAAAATTATTGAGTAAATAGAAGTTTGGAAGTAACAAAAGCCAAGAGTTAGCAAATAGTACAATAAAATATTCACGGACTCGCCCTTTTTGGGGTATGTTTCTGCTTTATTTTCCAAACTATGCACTAGTTGCTTTATACTGCTTGAAAGAAAACAAATTATACAGGCTGACCTAACACAATGGAGGCAGTAGTTGGCTTGCCTTAAGTAAAAGCAATTGTAAGAGTCTCCAGTTTGAAACAGAAATTTTAAAGGCAACTAAAGTAATTTTTTTAAGGACCTCCTTCAGTTTGTGCTGGTGTCCTTCCTGCTACTAAATTCTCACCCTACCAGTCTAAACTATTTGAACATTAAAAGAATGGAGACTGACACAGTACAGGAGAGTTTCTGTAACTTACTAGAATTCAAAACTCATTACAGTGTGTTCAGGCTAATATGTATTTAAGTAGCAGATAATTTCTAAACTGTTAAGCTAGAAGTTTTACTATAAATTATATTCTTTTCCTGGGTGGATGCTAGTTAACTATTAAAAAGTAAGACCGGCATTTTTCTCAGAAGGATACCAAAGTATCTTACAACACATAGGTCATTCACCTGCTTCAAAAGTAAGCCTGTTCTGGGAGAAATGTAGCTGTTCACATCAGTTCTGCACAATAACCAAGACTGGGAAGTAGAGGTAATTAATCAAACTGTAGAGTCATCAACCACGTTGGAATTGAGTCAAGGCCTGACTTTTTTTCTTATACTCTTTAAAAAAGTGACATTGGGACCTTTTGTGACATTGTTTCACAATGCAGACAATTTATATCTGATAGTACCATTTTTCTTTTCCACCTCAGAAGTTACACAGCCAGTTGGTAACAATTCAATATGAAGTCCTAATGAATGGCTTTCATATTTGGGATTCTCATTGTACTTTCTACTTATTTTATGGGGACCTTACTTTAATTTGAAACATCAGAGGAATGTACAAATGTCATAATTTATCATGTGCAGCTGGTTAAAAAATACCCACCACATTTATCCAATGTGTCACCATATCTGTGAAGTGCCTCATGCTAAAGCCTGAAACTGGAAATGAAACAATTATCTGGGGTAGTTGGTTATTTTTTCCCTTTGATTACTGGCTGAGGTATAAATACAACTAGTTCACTTTGCTAACATATTTAAGGAAAGCTTAAGGTTTTCTGTGTTAAGTGGTATCAGTTTATTCTGACTTAATTTCAGTCCATGGATGCCAAAGAATTTGTCAGCTCTTGTTGAAGTCAGTACAACTGCACAGCACTGAAAAGACTTGTCTATTTGTAGTCAGTTTGACAATTAGTCTTGGGTATTTCTGCAGCTTGCCTTGTGAGATCAAGCATGAGTGGTTACTAGATGTGTGGTTATTTTTTTTTTCTGAGAATACCTCACTTGAGACAATGTTTTTCATAAAAATCTTGGAACTTGGCAGTCATGACAGAGCAAATTCATAAAAAACATTGTTGTGACATTTTTTCCTTATGTTTAGTGAAATATTGGGACTAGGAATTGCCTGTAGAAGCTAAAACTCAGTAAGAGATAATTATTGTTACTTGAGTTTAGCTGTTTTATTACAAAAGGTCTAAACCACTTATGGCAGATGGGAGATTCATGCTTTGTTTTGCCATCTGGAAAACTAAGGAGGTAAAACTTAATGTTTCCTAGTTTTGTTAAAGGACCTGTGACAGGTTTCAGGGACTGTTGTAAGCTTTACTGTTTCTTTGACAATTGAAAAAGGTGCAGTTTTTTCCTCTTAATTGCCAAACGTTGTCATTCTTTTAGTGATGTCTCTGTTTTGCTGGTTCTTTGGTGCTTATGTCTTTCAGGCTAGTCAACATCTGTATGCCTGAGGTAAAAAGGCAAGCTTAAAATAAGAAATAGTTCTCTTGCTTACAGAAGCAGCTTGAAGATTCTTTTAACAGCACAAATATTGATGTAATCCAAAGATTTTTTTCTTTGTTTCTTGATGTTTAAAGTAGCATTTTTATTTTTTGTATCTTGTTTATGTTGGATTAGTTGATTCAACCATGTAGACAGTAAAAGCAGTTGCAGAGGTAAGAGTAAGAACTGGTACCTTGATCAATACTTGCTGCGGTGAATCAAAAGGGTTTGCTTTTCCTTTTTAATGTAGTGTTTTTGAATTTGTGTCCCAAAAGGCCAACCTTACAAAGTTCTAGTTTTCTTTCTCTGTTCACGTTACTAAATGACAAGAGATTTTTCCAGGTTGCTTTGTAAAAGAAAAAAACAATGAGAAGGAAAGGTGCTTGTTTCTAAATAACCATCCCTCTCCCCTAGAGAGAAGCTGTTCTGTTTGAGGAAGGCTGTGTTGTCCTGGGCATGAGTGGTGGCCTCCAGGAGGTGGCAGCAGAGGTTTGCTGTTGTCCCACACAGCAGATTTTCTGTTCTATGTTTGGTTCTAGTTGCTGAGATTTTGAATGGCAGAAGTCTGAAATTTTATAATGCTGCAGCCCTGAAAGAGGCTTATTGCAACTGAGCTGGAATTATTCAATACTCCAGTAACTTGACTCAGTTATAAAACACTGATACCTTGTGTATGAAACATCAGGCATAGTGAAGGAGCAGAGATATCTCCATTAATCAGCAAAGATCTGCATTTTCCTCTTCCTCAGTTTAATTTCTTCCATGAGTCTTGGAGTTCTTATAAATATCAAAATAATTAATTCCAACTTGTCTTTTAAGTATGTATAACCGGTTTTCCACCTTACTAACTTCTTGATTTTGAGCTGCAAACAGTCTAATTAACCTTGGAATTTTAGTTTTTTTACTATTTGAAGCAAGATGGGAGAAAAATAACATAACATCCCTGACTGTACAGGGAAAGCTCCTTTATTGCGGAACATCTTAGGAGATTCCCAGTTTTAATTGTAAAACGTAACCTGGAACCTTTTGAATAGAACTCCTATTGCCCTTTCCTGTTTTATACTTAAAGAGTGTTTATTATTGTACAGAAACAATAATTAATTATTTTGAGACATTGGCCAAATGTCAGGAATCTTTTCTCTGTCTATCTGTCTGTCAGCTACCATCTCTTTACCAGGAGATGCATACGAGCTTTGTAGTCCTCGTAGCTTTGCACTTCTGTCTTTGGGACAAGTTTTTCATTTGTTTCTGGACCTTTTTTTTTTAAATTCTGGGTTACTTTGTTTTTTGAGAGCCAATAGTTTTTCTAGCTGCAAACGAGCTTTGAAGTCCTCATAGCTTTGCACTTCTGTCTTTGGGACAAATTTTTCATTTGTTTCTGGACCTTTTTTTTTTTTATTATTCTGGTTTACTTTGTTTTTTGAGAGCCAATAGTTTTTCTTCATTAAAAGTATCTTGTGTTTTCCCTTCCTTCTCCTATGTAATTATGAAAACATTTATGTTATCTTTTCTTTCTCTTTACAGTACTAATGGAACAGTAATTAATAAACTGAAAGTGGTGAAGAAGCAGACATACCCTTTACAGACTGGAGATGTGATCTATGTTGTTTACAGAAAAAATGAGCCAGAGAACAGTAAGAAAATTATATTTTTTAAGTAGCATGCTTAGTAATTTTTTTAGTCATGAGAGAAAAGAAATATCAGTACAATTAAAACAGAGTTACTCAATTGTAAGACAGGTAATTTACTAATGTTTAAAAACAAGTCTCTGTAGAAGAGGTCATGCTAGTTTTTACAGGGACAAGTCTGAGCAACTGTCTGAAATTGAAATGTGCCTAGAAGTAGTTTTGGAAGAACTAATGCATGAGATGGTAACTAATGAGGTCCTGATGACACGCCCAGTGCTTCTTTTAGAAGTCATATTGCTGGGGTAGTTAGTAATACTTTATATATCACGTTGAGGCAATTTTTGGCACCAGAAGAAAAGGCTGCAAAAGCTTTTTGTTTTGTTTTGTGTTCATTTTGGGTGTTTTTTTAAACAGAGAAGAGGCAAAATGGGGGAGAAGTGGGGAAAGCTCTCTAGTGCAAGTAGACTTAGTAAACCTGGAAAAATATTTGTGTGGCCTTAAGGAGGAATCATGCCTCATGTGCCCATAGTTCTCAGGAATTCTTTTCAGTATGGTGCAATTGAAATTACATAGGGTTTTTAATGAAAAATAAAATACAAAAATAAATCAAGCTATTTTGGGGCAGGAAGTAATGTTCTCTCATGTGTTAACTGGGTAGAAGTCAGGGACCAAGGTTTAGGTGTAAATGCTTAGTTTTTGCAGTGCAATGAAATTAATAAAAGATTTCATTAATGATCTGTGTTGGCATCTGTCTTAAAGATGTTCTTAAATGATTTAGGAAGTAACTGTTGAGGCAGCAGAATTTTCATTTCATACTTTTCCATTTTGTACCATTTCCTTTCATTCAGTTACACAGGGTCATTAAATCCAGCACTGACTGAAGAGATTTACAGAAATAATTTAATTGCTCATTATTATGAAATAATAGATGGGGTTCAACTTTGATAAAAGAGTTGGGGGGAGAAAGGGAATGGACAGTCTCTGTTTTTACATATGTATTGCTGTACCCCAGCTGATTGCTTTGTCTATTAGCATGCAATTCTGCTTTTAAGTGTGAAGTATGTAATATTTAAATTTTAGTAGAGAGCACTCACTTTCTGGAAAACACTTTAGATGAAAGAGGCATTTTAAATGTTAATTCTCATTACCATATTTGATAGCTCTGAAGTGGAACTTCAGGGTGAACAGACAGACTTTTCTATGGCCATAAGCTCTCCTGTTATTGTGAAGATAATTCGATGTACTGGGTGATGGGAGGTTGTAGTATTAGATATTAGATAAACACAGTATTAGATATGTTTATAGCATGATATTTAATGTAAAATACAAGACTGTATTTACAATTTTCATACAGTAATAGACGTATGAACTATTAATCTAAAAAATTCTAGATATATACATACTCACTACTGGAATACTTCCTTTATGAAGTTGCTGTTAATTTATGTACAGACAGATCAGACAGATTTGTGCCAATGTAAATATTAAAAGAAGCAGTGATAAGCTAGATTTGTCTGTCTGTATGGCTTGTTTGTCTCACAAATCCTTTCTAAGATGACACTATTGCAGTTGATGCTACTTGGAAGAAATCACTTATGCAAGTTTTCCAGGTACTTTGTAATGAGCTGAATCACCAGTTTCTGTTTGGGTTAAAAAGTATTTGAATTACCAAGCCTCCAGTTTTGCTTTTTCAGCTTCTCCATTTTCAAAGACAGAGAGAGAATTTAGATTTGGTATGTCTATTCTGAGTAGTTCTGAAGGAGACAAAACTCTTCCAATCCATTGATGGGAAAAGGGATTGCTACAAACTAAGAAAGTCTTACTTGCTTTTAGGTGGCTAGAGGTGGAAAAAAAGTAGAATGTTAGGGGAATTTTTGGAACTGTATTAGATTGAAGTAGGATGGAGAAGAAAGGGATATTATCCAGTTAGTTTTATTAATAGATAGTAAATTAGTTTCTGGATGAAATTTATGGCATGTCTTAATCTGTATTTTTGATAGTTCATGTATCTCATGAAGAAATGAAATAAAATTGATTTAAGAAGTTGAAAAGTGAGCTCAGAAATAATAAGCTGCTTCAAAGAACTGTCATTGAAGTATCAGTAAAAATACAATTCGTTCTGACACAGAACAAATTTTATGTTTAAGAAATTATTAAGCCTCTGGTTCCTTGGCTGGCACAAGTTAAACATCACACAAAAGCTGCTCTGCCTGGTTTCCTGAGAAGAAAAGATCTTGCTGTGCTGTTCCTAATTGCCTTCTAAGTAGGAGTATTAACATTGTACTGTAGAGGTGACCCCTGATTTGCCTCTTCCATTATCAGACACTTTGAGGAAGCAGCCATTTGTGAATAGAAGTTGTTTATGTGAGATTAAGGTTAGTGAATTTTTGTTTAAAGATTCTGATCAATATTTTTTATCTCTTTCAGATGTTGCTTATCTTTATGAATCCTTAAACACAAAACATGATGCAACTCAAGAACCAGTAGGTAAGGAAGTAATTCAAGATCCATGAAGAGGAGCTAAGCTCCAATGACTAATATAACCCTCTTGAGAGAGTTTGATTCCTTGGAATTTTGAAGCCATGATGTGGTGACTGTCACACAGATCTTTTTCTTTCCTTTCCCCCCTTCCAACTGTAGAAGTTAATGTAGAAAACCAATGCCATGTGACCAAAGATACCTCAAATACAGGAAGAAGTAATGATGAGACCCAAATTACCTCATCACCGTCAGCTACTCAGTCTTGCTATGAGGAACCACAGCCATCTACTTCTACATCTAACCTCTTTAATGCTTCTTCTACCTCTCTTATTGAGTCTGCATCTGTTCAGCAGGATAATCCTTCTACATCTGGTAAGAATTGTGTCAAGTATTCAAAGTTTGATATCCCATCAACTGTTACTCCAGTTTTTAATTTTAACAGATTAATCTCTTACTCCTGTCTGAGTCTTTAGCATTTGCTTTGTTAAGTTCTAGTGAAAGTACCAGGTGGATATGTGCATTTTAACTTTCTCTCTGTGAGCAGGCAGGTGTACCCTGGTGGATGAGTAAGGCAATTGTGAGAATTGCTTGTGCTCAGAGGGGCAGAAAATGCACGTAAATCCCAAACTGTTCTCTCTTTGCAGTATGGTTTTGTAGTGGAGCACTGGTGAAAACTTAGCAAATCTATGTGGCTCATATACCCAAGCAAGTAGGTATGAGTGCTTGTGCTCGTGGAGTCACTGATAAACTTCCCTAATGGTCACTGTTACTGCTGGCAGTCACCAGTCCCCTTTCCCTTGTGTAGACCTCTAATGCCAAAATATACCACACGGATCCCTAGTCCAGGATCCTGCATTATGTTGGCAAGTGTAATACCGCAGTGCTGCTTAACTCTTAGAATTGTAGCAAGAACAGCTATGTAGAAAATGGCATTTGTCAACAGTTCATTGAACTTTTTAAACTTACTCCTATGAAAACAAAGCTTTGCCCTCCGCTGTGATCCTGACCTGTTACATCAACATTGCATAAATCCTCTGCCTGGCATTTTTGTCAGAAAGACCTGGTGTGAATAATAGTCTTATGAATAAATACTCTGCAACTTAAAAAGGAATGGGGATTTGAAGTAGGATTACACAACTAATAGCTTGTTTTCCCCCAGGTCTTCCAATTAGTCAGATTGGCTCAGACTGCATATACAATAGTTATGAAGACTTTACATTTTTGTTCCCCTCTTTCCTATTTGGATGTTTCGATTGATGTGTGTGCATCCTCAGTGTTCAAGTACCTGTTGTTTTCACGTGTCCCGTATCTGTATGCAGCTATGTTCATGTTTCCGTTTTTATCTTGCAGGATCACAATCCTCAGTTTTCACTCCTGTGCCTGCTTTCCCCATCTTAGAACCTGTGTGTGTAAGAGCACTGCATGATGAACGTGAAAAGCTGGCTGTGAATACTGAAAATTCTGCAGTCACTTCAGAAATCCCTAAGAAATTAAAAGCAGAATCGGATTCTCAAAGAACAGGGGAGGAGGAAGAAGATTTGGAACCTGCTAAGAAGAAACTAAAAGAAGGCTAGTAAATTACAGTATTGTGCAACCTACCCTTCACTCTTTTATTGTAATATTATTGTTGAAAGTTAGTTTAAAAAACTTAATTAGAAACTTAAAGCTATATCCATTTTTCATAGAAGCCTAGTGAGATTAACAGAAACATAAGGATCTGTGTTAATTTTTCTTTATTAATATGAAAAAAGTTCAAAATGCATGCATATCAAACCTAGAAGGTCTTGAAAGGTTATGTTAGTAGGTGATAGATAACTTTTTTCCTCTTCTCAATGTAATTTTATGTTTTAATATTGCATTAAATCAGAAAAGCAAAACTCCCTTATTCCCCCCTGCCTCACATTGAGTCAGGTCAGCTGTCATCAGTCCTTCTTCAATTTGTTTCTTGCTTCTTATTGACTTGATTTCTGCTCCAGTGAAAGTAATGTCTTCAGTAGCAGAAGCTGTTATGTGTAAAGCAAGAACCTTTAGTGGGACCATTGCCAGTGAACAGTGAATTGGTGTATATCTTTCAGGTGGTTTTTTAACACTTAAAAAAATAATTTAAAAAAGCTTCAAAAACTACATACTGTGTAATCTTCTGTCTTTGTAGATGAAGATGCTTGTCCAAATATTCCACCAGCAACTCCAAGTGAATGCATCATTAAAATTGGCTCTGAAGATGCAAAAACGTCAAATGTGAAACCAGATAAGATGGAAGAAACATTAACTTGCATTATCTGCCAAGAACTGCTGCATGACTGTGTAAGGTATGTATGATTGACAAAAGCTATCATAACAATATATGAAGTTCAGTGATAACTGCTTGAGGACGCCAGGATACTTTGGGTTTTCACAAGACCTTCTGAGTCCCTTACCCCCTGCCCCAGCCCCCATTTATATAGTCAAATCAATGCTAAAGAGTTTTTTGAGTGTTATGAATGTATCTGAAAAATGAGAGATTTGTGGTTTGGCTCCATTTCTTTCATTGTTTTCATGTTTGTGTCTTCCAGCTTGCAGCCTTGTATGCATACTTTTTGTGCTGCCTGCTACTCAGGATGGATGGAAAGATCTTCTCTATGTCCAACTTGTCGTTGTCCAGTAGAACGTATTTGTAAAAATCACATATTGAACAACTTAGTGGAAGCTTATCTGATTCAACATCCAGGTAAGTTGAACAGCGTTTAACAGAATCTGATGTATTTCACACGTTAGCTGCGTAATTGATGTGTGTGCAGACTGTTATAGAATCACAGAATCATAGAATGGTTTGGGTTGGAAGGGACCTTAAAGCTCATCCAGTTCCAACCCCCCTGCCATCAGCAGGGACACCTTCCACTAGACCAGGTTGCTCAAAGCCTCATCCAGCCTGGCCTTAAACACCTCCAGGGAGGGGGCATCTACAACTTCCCTGGGCAACCTGTTCCAGTGTCTGACCACCCTCACAGTGAAGAACTTCTTCCTAATATCTAATCTAAACCTTCACTCTTTCAGCTTAAACCCATTTCCCCTTGTTTTGTCATTAACTGCCCTTATGAAAAGTCCCTCCCCAGCTTTCTTGTAGGCCCCCTTCAGGTACTGGTAGGCCACTGTTGTCTATTAAATTTCTATGAGAAGGATATCAGTTTTATCAAACAGGGGACACTGACTGATTAGGCCGCCTAAACTCAGATACTTCTGAAAAATATACCTGAATATGGATTTAATTAACTTTGATCATGGCCTCTTGAAAGCAAAACTTAAGTTGTCAGATACTGCATTTCCATTAACACAGAAGGGAATTTAACTAACATCTTCTAGAACTCTTTTCCAAAAGTAAGTTTTATAGAAATGAAAACACAATAATCATAACTGTGTTAATAAAGTAGGGTAGAGATAAGGGATGTGAGCTATTCTTTTCTCTTGAAATTTGAATTTGATTCTCATGCCAGATAAGTGTCGTAATGAAGATGATGTACGTAGCATGGATGCTAGAAACAAAATTACTCAAGACATGTTGCAACCTAAGGTGCGGAGATCTTTTTCAGACGAGGAAGGAAGTTCTGAAGATTTGTTGGAATTGTCAGATGTAGACAGTGAATCTTCAGATATCAGGTATATCTATTTAAATTGTGCACTGAATTAAATTTACTTATGTCTGAATGCACAAACCCACAAACTGAGCTGGTAGTGTTTCCACGATCATTGCCAGAACAAATCTTATTTTTGTTTTCAGGTAAACTCATTCTTACCAATAAATATCTTGGCAATTCTACTGAACCTTGAGCAGTCAATAAAAACCAATTAAAATTAGAGCTTCCTAGAAGTCCAGCAAGATTCAGTTAATGACCAATGATTCTATCATGAATTGTGCAACAGCTTTATGTGAGATGTGTGAAATTACCTTTTCTGATTATAAATTGGCTGTTGCTTTAGAGAAAACAGGTTTCTGCATAAGATCTTGTCAAGAGGTAAAGCAGTCCATGACCCTATGAGTGTAGGTGCAATGACTGTACTTTCCTACATGTCTGGAATGCTGCTTTCACTGGGTATGTGGTACTGAAGAAGCTGATGCTTGACCTGGGGATTCCCAGGCACCAAAATATCTCCTCTTTACTTCTGACAGCAGACAACTTTTTGCTGTATATCTAGAGAGGAACAGAAAAACTCTTCCCATAGATAATTATTCCAGCTTTGTTCCTCTCTTGTTCATTTCGCTTCCAGTCACACCACTCTTTTTCTGTGTGGGGTTTTGTTTGGGTTTTTTTAACTCCTTGGGAATACTACAAAATCCAAAGCTTTTATCTGTTACAACTACAGCAGTCTTCACAGCTGTCAGGTACTGAGTTATTTAAACTTCTATATGTTACTGGATTAAGAAATTCCAAATGTCAGCTTTGTAAGTATGACCACCCCTGTCTAGCACAGGGATATGAGTTATACTTGCATTTGTTGGGTGTGATTTCCTATGACCTTATTTTTTCTTTCAGTCAACCATATATAGTGTGCAGGCAGTGCCCAGGGTATCGAAGACACTCTGTTCCAACTCTGTCTGGTACAGTCCAAGAGACAGAAACAGGAGGAATGCAAGCACTGGGAGATGCGCCATCTACGTCAGCCAACTTCCCTGCAGGTCAGTGTCATGAAATCTTCTCAGTAGTGTGATACTAAAATACAACTCATACAACTGTTATGAATGAAGCAAACTCGCTGTCATAGTACTGTGACAGTCACACCACTTCACATAGGTGTCTTTGCAAATATCATGAGTTTTGACCATGGTTTTTCTGTGGTTGTCCGTAATAGATTGCTGATAAGCCATTCTACACACTGAAATATTTTACACACCTACCGAGTTTAGAAATCTGAATGCTGTTTTTCTGTTCTTTTATAGTATCTTTGTAAAAAATGGTATTGCTTGCTTGTTACTTTCATTATTGCAATTGTGTACATTGTTCAATCTACCTTTCTTTCCTGTTTTTAACTTATCTAGCTGTCCAAGAATATGTGTGTCCTGCTCAAGGAAGTCATGTAATATGCACTTGCTGCTTTCAGCCAATGCCTGACCGAAGAGCAGAGCGTGAACAGAATCCTCATGTTGCTCCTCAGCAATGTGTGTACAATTTTTTTTATTATTTTTTATTTTTTATTTTTTTTTAATCTTGACTGCAGAACTAAATCTCCTCTTATTTTTAATTAAACTTAAGTTTACTTTGAAGAGTGTTCTTTATTTGAATATTCTTTATCTGGACTCTAGTAGTGACAGCATGAAAGACTCTTCCTTTGTAAAATTTATTATTCCTCTATAGAATGTATTTAAATGAGAAAGTTGTACTTTTAGCCACGTTTTTGAGAAGTTTTTTAACCATGTTTATCAGGGCTGTATTGTTATTGATTTATAAGAACAGTAACCATTGAATTTGTTGTGTGCAGGTCCTTATAGGGATTTTCTTTGTTATTTTACAGGTACAGTTTGTCTGCAACCCTTCTGTCACTTATACTGGGGCTGCACTCGGATGGCATGTTTTGGCTGTTTGGCACCATTCTGTGGTATTGTGGAATAATCTATTTCTTATGAGCCTGCTCACTTTGCAATAATGTCTATCTCTCTTGAACTTTAGATAATTTAAGAAATATAATAGATTAGTTTGTAGCACAGAAACGAAGGCTGCGTCCTCCCATCACAAACATAAAAAAATTCTTGAGTGTTATGTGTCTTAAGTTTGAGAGATTTAACTTCTTGTCTTCATACCATAATGGATTTCAGCCTAGTAAGAGAATCATACAAATCAATGCAAGAGCACTGAACATCTGATATTAACTTAACTAGAAAAGAAACTTACCCTCTTAAACATGTAGACTCCTGAAACTCCAGGTTTTAGATGCTTTTAGAAATAAATTGGAACAGCTGAAATGACTTGGCTGCAGTTTGAAGCTAATGAAATATGCTTTAATAGCACTGTTAATTTGTGCAGATTAGTGGTAGTGTTCGTGGACTAAAGATTAAATTGTAAAATCTTAATGCCTTGTCTTTGCCACTGGGAGCTATATATCCCATGCTTTAGCATGTGTTGAATGCAGTCATTTACTTGGTGATCTCATGAGCATGTTATTTCAGGAAACAGAATAATCTTCTACAAATGTGTGAGGGCCATGGGGTTGCAGGAGGAAATAGTAACTTTTCTTCTTCTTGTTCTGATTAGAAATAAACCTTGGTGATAAGTGTTTAGACGGAGTCCTAAATAACAACCACTACGAGTCAGATATCCTAAAGGTATGTTTAAAAATCATTATGTATAATGCAGAACAATAAATGTACAAATTTTAAGAAGTACTCACTCATGAATGATAGTGATGTGCTGCCTGGCAGTTACAGTGTCAGCATTGTGTCACTTGGAGAACCTGATTCTAAAAGACAAACCTTACAAGCCCCGAACATTCAGCTGGACCAAAGTTGTAGTTACTATGTCTAGACTGGAAGCATTTTAGGGTGATAATTTGGCCCCTTCAGTCTCTGTTTAAGACGCCATTGTATTCTAGAGATGCATTCCATTTAGCATCAGCTCTTCCTGTACCACCCAAATTACCAGCAGTAACAACAAATCACTTTCATTCAATCCTGATGTTTAATTTCTCCAATGTGTGTGTCTGACAGGTGCCAAGAAGGCAAAAATTCTAGATATAACTTCTCAATTTTAGTTTAAATAACTGATAGACATACTGTAAAATTCACATTTAAATCATCAAATAATTTTACTTGTATGAAGTATTTGTTAGGGAAGCCAGTTTCAGTCTAAAGTATAACATGCAAAATATTAATTAAAGAGAAAAATAATTCACTAAAAATATACAAGGAAAAGAAGACTTGTTAAATATTTTTTCCCAGACAAGTTAAATTTCACACTAGGTCACGTGGAAAATATTTTGCACATATCGTAATGGGGTTATTTAAATTAGGTAAACTGGATGAAAACTTGATTTAAGGTAAATGAGAGTGTGACTGAAATGCATCTATTTGCATTCTTTTGGCAAAGGTAGAGTCTTCTGAAAAAAAAAAAAAGAAGATAGTGAGGGGAAAATTTTATTGATGATCTGGAAGTATCATGCTAATTAAGTTAAAGGTTATTTTTACTTGTAATTGGCATCAGCCCATTTTGAAAACCTAGTTAGGTCTAGATTTGAAAGTATTCGAGGGAGAATGGCTTGGTCACTCTTTAATGTTGGAGATTTTTCTAGATTGAACATTGAAATTGCTCTTTCAGGATTACCTGGCATCCAGGGGTTTGACATGGAAAAATATGTTAAACGAAAGTCTCTTGGCTCTTCAAAGAGGAGTTTTTATGTTGTCAGGTATGTGTTATGTTCATTTTTGTCCATGTGTAACTCTTTGTATATAACTCAGTAATACTATCAAGAGGTTTGAAGTTCTGTGTATGTAACCAGCGCCATCATGACATTTGTGTTAAATCTGATTTCTCAAGCCTTGCGCTGACATTATGTACGAACTGTTTTTTTCCCCAGATTACAGAATTACTGGGAACACAGTGCTTTGCTACTGTTGTGGCCTTCGCAGCTTTCGAGAACTTGCCTACCAGTACAGGCAGAATATTCCTGTTGCTGAATTGCCAGGTGGGAATTGCTTTGCACAGTAAGGAAGAAAAGTCATTTAAAGAGTTAAAGTCAGTTTTATCCTTGTATCCTTAGTTTTTTAGCACCTTCATGTAGCCCAGTGCAAATCTCTTTGCAGGGCTAATACCTTATGATGATTGCTTTACTTGTCAGCTGCTAAGTTTGCATATAGTTATTGTCAGACTCCCTAATGGAATCTTTTCTCTCTACAGATTTGTCATCTGTAGAATAAATATACCTGCATAGTGAAAAGAGGAAGTCAGTAAAATCCAGATACAATCACAGGAACTAGTTGCTGTAGTGGAGTTTTCCCATTTAAATACATAAAATGGTGCACCTCCTGAACAATTTCACATTTTAGTAGCTCTCAACTAAGGACAAGAATGTTTTCCTAAATCAATTCTAAATCTGTTTGCATTTACAGTTTTAGTATAAAATAGCATGCAAGCACCTGTGCCTCCTTCAATCCCAAATCTGTTGGGAACAGAAGCTCTTCCAACACTCTACTTTTACATGTTACTTTTGTCCGTCTAGTTCCTGTTGTTAGCAACAGCTTCGCTGTCTTTAACAGTTTAGAACTCTTCTTCTGCTACTGTGCATAACGGGAGACAGTCTACCATGTTTCTCCCTATTATTGCTTTTCATTTCAGTGTTACAGCCTCCTGGACAGCAGTTATAATGTTTGCAAAAGTGGGGGAAAACCAACAAACTCTACCCAAATTAATACATTTTTCTTTCATATGGAAATGCATCTAGACAGTCTTAAAACTGTCAAGTGGATGTCTATTAAACTAAATGGTAAAATTTTAGTTGACAGCACTGATTACCAAATCCTTTCATCATAAGTCTGCGTGAGCTTCATATTTAGAATGTGGTTTTTGTCCTTCACTGTTTGCTTTGTTTCTAAAAAGGTGAACCAATATAGTTTACAGTCATTTCTTGACAATCAGGATGTCTTGGTCCTCTATAAGCCTCCTCTGATGAGTAACCACTCATTAAGTGGTTTAAGCAGTGGCTTAATAATCTAAATCACCTTATTTAATTAATTCTGTAATAAATGTAGCATTTAATTTGCTCTTTTTGTAGTGACTGTCACATCACGTCCTGATTGCTACTGGGGGCGCAACTGTCGAACTCAGGTCAAAGCACATCATGCCATGTAAGTTATATGATTTATAAAGTGGGTTTGGTTTTGTTTCTTTTTTGAAAAACAAAAAACCAAACAACCCCCCCCCCAAAAAAACCCAACAAAAACCCCCAGCCTTTGAAGTACCACCAATTGCATGAGTCTGTTGCAGCATAAGCAAAATTGGGTGAGCTTTGGGGTTTTTTTGTCATTTTTGTTTCTAACACAACTTTGAAATGAGACCTTCACGCATGTTAGAAGGGCATCATTAGAACTTGTAAGCTGATGTAACTCATTACTGATGCTTCTTGAGTCTTGTTTTCTACCTGCAACTCCCCCTTCATTCCTATTCTTCTCCCACTGAAGCAGCTTCTCATTTGCTTATGTCTGGGTGCTTCTTAAAAAAACTGTATATACATATTGTATTATATATACATGTGTATATATATATTAGACCTGTGTGATTTCTGTTTGAAACTATAAGAGAGACTCTTCTAGCAAAATGCAGCATATTTTGAAGGGATAAATATCAGTGGGAATAAATTGCAATAAGAGAAAAAGAGAAGTTTGTAACATGTAACATTAGGAACCTAGTGTGGTTTAGCAGTTCCTGGTTCTGGAGGAGTTTCTAGGTCTTACACCCAAGCGTTCAAGCATATGGTGAAAATTAAACACTGAGCCTGAAAAGAGATTAACCCTGCATTTCTCAAGTGTTTTAGTGTGTCTAGGGGACATGGGCTCCTGGTATCTGGTCATTCATGAGAAATGTCCATTCACAATAAATCAAGGTCCTTGATTTAAAAAAAAAAAAATCAAGGCCACTGATAATCAATGCAATTTAATTCTTAGGAAAAGATGCATGTGTGGTAAGGCAAATATTAAAGACTTGTAAAACAAAACAAAAATTATCTACCTAAGAGCTAACTGGTTCCAGAGAGGGTAGAAAAGTCCTTCTTGCCTTTATGAATAATTCTCTAAATTCTCAGTGCAATGTAAGATAGAGGAGCTGTTACCCCTTATTGAGAAGTTGCTTTAATGAATAGTAGATTCTGCAGTATCTTTTCTAATGCTGCATTGAACATACAGGCTTGGCAAAATTCCTTTAATATTGCAGGTACTATGGGTTGAAAATAACCAGTCTTTACAGCTCATGCAAGCAGATCATAAGAAAGACTTGTAAAGTATTCATCCCCAGTCTCTTACAAATTCAGAGGGTTTTACCAATAACTTTCAAAAATAATTTGTCATTTCAGTTGCGGATGTAATTCAAAGCACCACTGCTATCTGCAACTTCTTGTTACAGGACTAGAGGAGATTTTGGTTTGAAATGTTAGAGAGTTATTTCAGTATCAAAGCACTCCCCAGTCATCTCTGTTCATATTGTGGTGGATAATTCCATGTAGAATGGAAATGAATCAGGGTTTATTTTCCTTTTTTAATTCTCCCTTTTTTTTTTTTTTTTTTTTTCCAAGCATTAGCTGTTCCTAGAACTTTACTGGCTGCTGCTCTTAGTTCCTAAAATCCATAAAAGCAAACAATCCTGTCATACCACTTCTAGATATCCAGTTAGGTTTTTTTATTGAGCTAAATTGTTTTGCTAAATAGTTTGGTTTTGTGAGCAAGGTTTCTTTCAAATCTTTGATCTAATTCATCAAGAGGGAGAAAATTCAAGGTCTCTCTTGCATCATCTCTTCCACATGTACATGTATGTACACGCTCAACACCCCAACTCCTGTTTTGGATATGTATCAGGGGATGCATAACCCAGGTAAGAGAAGAACAAAGAATGAATGGTGAGATGGTTTTTAGAATTGGAAAGAAGTGCCTCGTACAAAATTGTGTTATCTGTTTAATTCAGTAAGATGGGCTTGCCATTCCCATAAAACCTAAATAATACAGAATGAGAAAAAATTATTTTTTCTTTCTAGAGTAAGATTCTAAGCCAGTGAAGAACTTGTTTGTGTTGAAACGTGTTATTAGCTGAGTTAATTCTAGTTCCTAGTGACTTGTGTAATGCTGTCTCCTGAAAATTACTGATGTCTCACAGGGCAAAATTAATTCACTGGTTCCTGTTTTAATTGCCTTCTGGGTTTGAAGTATGCAGAAGTATAGAGGAATGCTTTTAATAACAGGTTTTCTGTGTGCATAATAAAACTAACAAGGGTGAGACAGGACAGATGTAGTAGAGTACAATCTAAACAGGTTCTGAAAAACAGGTGTGTTAGCATGTAAATGTTCTGCTTTAAACTGTTTCACATTTAAAATGCCTCATGAAAGATACTGACTCTTTTGGTTTTTTGTTGCCTGACTTCTGTGAACTTTATTATATTTTAATACTTTTTGGTTTTTTTTATTTCAGGAAATTTAATCACATTTGTGAACAAACACGATTCAAGAACTGAATACTTGTAGTCTGTAGAGAGGGGACAAAAACCTGTTACACTGCTTGTACAGTTCAAGGTTTCAGGGGATCTTCTCAGTTCCCCCATAGCAGGGACTCAATAACTTTTGCATCAGGTAATCTGGTGTGAACTTTTTAATTTGTAGAATTTTACAGCTGTACGTGAAAAAGGTAGATTCAATTTTTTTTTTCCAAGAAAGTACAGCAAACATTGCATTCCATCCTCATGACTACAGTGTCCCTGTATCACTTAAGTGAAGAACACAAACAGAAATCACACACACAAAAACCAGCCATATCTTGGGAAGACCTAAGAATAAGGAGTGTATTTGCACTACTTGTGACAAAACTAAGAAAAATCCTTAGACTTAAAATAGAAATGTTTTGTAAAAGTATCTGATGGATATTTCAAGAGCCATTAATATTTAAGAAGGAAATTGTCAGTGTATATTTGTAACTGCATTTTGCGGTGGTCTGATATTTTGTCACTACACATTGCGTTTGGGCTAGAAACCACATTAATATTAACTTTAAAAAAAAAATCCGTCCATTAAACAACTGTTTCAACTTAAAGCTTTTACCACATGTGCAGTGTTACAGTGGAAGAAATACAGTTTCTTTTCTTAGTTTAGTTGTGTTGATGTTTTTATTTGCATTAAATTACAAAAATAATTGCACAAAAATTTGAAAGTCACATTTAAAGTTGGGGTAATACTTGAAGCAGAACAGACTTCTGCTACTATTACTTCTGTAGTGTTTTATATCAGAAGACCAAGCAATGCTTTTGACGTAGAGCAGCCAGTAGGATACACTGGTTCATTTTTTGTATTTCTTTTTTGGTTTAATATCGTATGCTAAGTATGTACCTCTGCCATGCGGCTGTTCTCTGGCATGCATACACTGGTGAAAATGTAGAAAAAAGCTATAATTTAAAACAGAATATAGCAGCTTTACTGGAAGGAACAATCTTACAGAAAACAATTAAGTTTGGACAAATTGTAGCAATATGGAGGCATTTCTGGATAGGGATGGTGAAGGGGAACACCAGTGTCACTGACACAAGAAATATATATTTTATTTTCATGGCTTCTGCAGAGCTCATTCAGGAAAAGTCCCCAAAATCCCAGTGTAACCCACCACCCCTTCCAAACTGATATGATCTGATCTATTTCATCATCATCTGGTAGCTAATGTTCACAAACCTCAATTGGGACCAATTTTTCTTTTTCATCATACCTAGACGAGTGAAACAGAATGAGAAGAAAGCATACACAGTTACCTCTGTAGATACCATGTTGTTTTTAAGTATGCCTTATTTTATGAGCGGGATTTATACTTCAATGTTAAAAAGTGTATACACAATATCTTGTGATATAATGGAGCACAAATGATGCAGCACATCATATCTACTGGTATTGGTGAATTAAACAAATATTTCCAGTAATGCACATCTTAGTATGAATGCTAATTAGAATGATGCATTTGTGTTTAGATTTTTATTTTTTAAAATAGCTGTTGCAAGGATGGGTCTGTTGACCATGCCCGTATGCTATTAAAAATACACTTTGGTGTGGACTTCTCTTCCTAATCTCTGGGCATTTTCTCCTGTGAGTAGGATTGAAATTGGATCTGGAATAATACTTGAAACTTCTTTTAACAACAGTGTGTTTCTGTCTTTTAGTATTATTAATGATGTTCTGTTGCTTCTGTATTTGTATTTTATGTTTAGAATTTTTTTTTTTAATGGTTATTGTATCTTCTCAGGACAACCATTCCCAGCTGGTTTTGATCTCATTTTCATCTCTGGCTGTGCATGTAGCAAATTGAGTGCAGTTGTGGAGATCAAGCCTTTGCACATTATATGCAGAAATGTGCTTTGCATTCTCATTCACCACTTCCCACACCCCAGATGGGCTTTCAGCATAGACTTGTCACTGTGCTAGTGTTCAAGCCTCTTGTGCTGAATTTTTTTTGTTGATCAAGAATAATGTGTCTGCAGTACTATGTTCAACCTCGCTTGCACTTACTCAAGTTATGTTTGTATAAGGATGTATTATGGGACTTTAAGAAAAAAAAATGGGGGAAAAAACCAACAACAAAACTGATGTACTTAACATCTAAACTACCTGTGCAGTAGAGGTTTTTCAGATTCCTTTATAAACCCCTCTTCCTTTTCCCTGTTATAGATAATTAATCTGCCTTTCTATGCATATAGGGTTGCGGTAGTGCAATGGAATGAAGGGATTTTTTTGTCATTTATATTGTACCAGGAAGAGATGAGACATTAACTTGCAGATGGGGAGGGTGAATAAATCCTGACCTTTATATGCTCTTAAGTAAGTAAGAGTATCTGTCATGGGTATTACATACTCTATACATTAGACCTTTTTAAATGTATGGTTACCAGGTGATAGTTAATGTGATAAATGTATGAACTATGCTTGGTGTAATTGTTTAAATACTGTAAAGGTGCAGCATATTTTTAACCTGTCTAAAGCACACCCCCACCTCCTTTATAAGAGATATATGGAAGCTGAGCATGAAATGTGGTTAGAATAGATGTTGTGAAAACCAAGATGATTGTGATAGGGTTTGACATAGTGGTGAACAAGTTATTTAGCCTCCTCTCTTTGAGAAAGTTCTTTTATAAAGAAGGTGGAGAGTAGTTCTTCCAGTTCTCTTGTGATTTATTTTTTTCCTGAATTGAGAAGTTATTAATTAAAAAAAAAAAAAATAAATTGCTGAAGTTGTCTGTTTCTGTTTCTTCTGTGGCATATTCTCTCACCACAGAAACTGATGTATGCAACACTTTCTAAAGCTTGGTCAACATTTAAATAACTAATAGCTTGAGATTTTACAATCAAATATCATCCTTGAACTTGTAGTATCTGAAAATTACATAAGTTTTTGTCTCAAACTCTCTTAAACTCTCTTTTGTCTCCAGCTTTCTTAAGTATCAGATAATATTACAAAGGATCATCAGTATCTCTACAGGATTTATAAAAAATTATATAAGTGAAAAACTATTAAATTCCTTTTTGTCAACAAGGAACTTCAAGGTGCTAATAAATAAAAAAGTTTACTACTTTTTAAAAAGTGAATATTCTTTTAATTTCCTGCAACACTGTAAACACTGAAGTGACAGCAGGCTAGAGAAAATTATTGTTATATAGTATTCATCTTTAGGATGATGTAATTTGTATAAATGATGAGATTTCAAATGGCTACTATTAATAGAACTTTTTCTGAATAGAACTTTTCCCTCCCTGAGTAAATAGGAGGACTTGTCTATGCCCCATTCTGTCTGAGGTTGAAGACAGCGATGCCAGAGTTGTTAAGCTTCAAATTGCAGCTTAGCTTCCTAGGATTTTTGCAGTGCTGCCATTACCACACTTGAAGCTGGATATCCTTTAATGTTGTAGCTAATCTGTATTGCTGTTCTTAAACCAGCTGTCACTTGTTCTTCAGACTGAATTTAAGAGAAATTCAAACTCACAGTTAAGCAATGTAAAAGTGAAAATGCTATGTTGTTCTGTGTGCTATAAAGATAAGCTGATAGACCTTAAAACTTGTAATGGTTTGGCTTTGCCCTGTGCTTACATTGGTTAAGTGTTTTATATTCCATTATAAGAAATGATGTATAACTAATTTAGTTTGAGGAAGATGCTGATTTTGGATTTATGCCCTATCAAGTGTTCAATTCTGGCACAGTCTAAATTTTTCCAAGCACTTCCTCTGTAAAGAATAGAGATGGTAGCATGATTGTGAGAAAGAGAATACAATATATGGCGTACTACAGCATATATATATATTAGATATATATATATGAATAAATATATATAACATATCAACAATCAGTGTTAATCTGGGAGCCCTAAGCATGTCTCAAATATTTGAATCAGCAATTGTGTAGGATAACTTGTGTTTAAGCTCTGGTACTGTTTTGTTTCCCTTGAAGTTAATAGAAAAATCTTTGTATTTGACACTCAGAGATCAATCATTAGCTCATTCCTTCTGCAAACAAAATACATCCATTTTGTAGCAATTTCTAGTCTTTGATAGAACTGTGTAGTGCAGATGGCTTAGCCTACAGCAGGAGCTTAGGGAAATAAGTTGATTCAAGTAAAAGGAGTTAGGTGTCTGAGGAGAGAATGCTCAATTCTAAATTATGCTCTGAAAATCTGTTTTCTTAGGGCTTCTTAAAAATTTCTGCTGGAAGGGGGCTTTATTTTGTACAGTCTGCCCTCTAAAAATAAACCGTCAGTCACTGTGTTACTGGAAGTTAGGAAAACGATCCCTTGGTTTTAAAAAGAATGTGTGGGGATTTTGCATTTTTTCCACCTATTTTATCTAACATTCTTTCTGCATGATGTTTGGGAGCTGAAATACCACTTACACAATTCCAAGGAATAACTTCTGAAGAAAACTAATTATACTATTTCCCACAGCAATGCTTAATATGCAAAGATTGCTTCTAAATCTGCTTTTCAGGTCATCCTTCTTTTCTTCACACTTCACCATTTTGACTTTCAATGAGGTAATTTCACCCTTAAGCTCATTAGTTTTCATAGGAAATGAATTATAAAAAATGCTAAGTGTGCCATATGAGGTTTAACATCAAAGACATTTCTAGACAGACCATTAATATACGTTGAAGCTATATTTGGTCTCTGTTGGGTATTCTTTTCAGTGCTGCTGAGTTTCAGTTGCTTGCCTTCCTTAGGTAAGTGTTAGCTTAGGACTTATCTTTTTTCCTTGCAATCCAAATTAATCTTTGATTGTTTAGACTAAAATCTAGTAGCTGACTGGACTATTTGAGTCAAAGGTGTTTTGTTATGGCTCATGTGCCCTTCTCATAGGAGAGAGGGAAAAAAAAGTTACCAGTAGGATGCTTTGTAACCGACTGCTCTTAAAGAAAAGTTAGATTTCTCAAAGGAAACCTCAGTACATGTTTCTGCTAGGAAGTTATAAATGGATTTTTGTTACTACTCTGAATTCTCAAAGTTAGGATGCATTAGCTGCCTGTTAAATCTTCGGGATTGTTTTCCCATTGAGCTCCATTCTCAACCATTTTAACTACCTGACAGTAGGAAACATAGCACACAGGATTCTTGTCAGCTTGTATAGCTGCAAGCTTTTATTTTGAAGCTCTGTTTCAACAGTGAAGAAATAGGGAATGCCCACGTATTTTTGTCCTATTCGATCTACCTAATATATTGGCTGGAGGGATTGCTTAGTATATTCCAGAACAA